CACACACACACACACACACACACACACACACACACACACACACACACACACACAGCCATTTGGATGGAGAGAGAGAGAGCGAAAGAGAGAGAGCGAAAGAGAGAGAGAGAAAGAGAGAGAGAGAGAAAGAGAGAAGATAGAGAGAAGATAGAGAGAAAGAGAGATAGAGATAGCATAACTTTGGTCTACTTCTGACTTCAGTAGCTCTTGATGTCCCTCTTGAGAGAGGTCCCTAGCTTTCTCAGGCTGTTTAAAGTACGGCCTGTGTTCATAAGCTTAAACCTTCCTTGGTCTGGTTTGTTTGTGGTTTATTGCTTGAGGTCATCGGCATCCTTTTACTTAGAAGCCTTAGCCTAGCATTTGCTTTTTCTTACAAACTATCCTTTAAATTTATCTATTAATTAGGCCTTTTAACATAACAGCTAATAACAAAAGCCATTCCTTTTCCAGTCTTTTCAGTAAGAATTTATTTAAAAAGTAAGGCATGGGGTGATAACAATTTCAGCGACTGAAGTATTTTTAATTTAGCAGCAATTTATTTCCCCAGTACATTTAGGCAGAGGCTTTCTTAGTTTCGTATTTATGGCTTTCCCATGCAGCAACAAGGAGCCAGTTTCTTGTCACTGACAAAGGCGGTGACTGCAGAATCAATCAATGATTAAACAATCAATGGCTGTTTACAAAAGGAATCAGCCTACAAACCAGACATCGCATCAACAGAGATTTGTTCACAAACCACAATTAAAGCAAACCTGGCTTTCGCAGATTGTGTGATCCAACTCTTAGATTTTAATTTGATTGGCACTGCCAATCAAATTTAATGACAAGAGAAAGCATAAAAAAAAACTATGAGCAAGCAGTAAGAAGACAAAAGCTTTCCACACTGCAGGGAAGTAAAGCAAACACCAACCTTTTAAAAAATTGGATGAATGTAATATGCTTCTTTAGAAATACAGTGAATATTGAAGAAACTTGGCATTACTCTTATATACTATTTGTTATGTTAAATGAATGGGATGCGGTGGCTCAGTGGCTAAGACGCTGAGCTTGTTGATCAGAAGGTCAGCAGTTCAGTGGTTCGAATCCTCAGTGGTTCGAATCCTCAGTGCCGCATAACGGGGTGAACTCCTGTTATTTGTCCCAGCTTCTGCCAACCTAGCAATTCAAAAGCATGTAAAATTGCAAGTAGAAAAATAGGGAACACTTTGGTGGGAAGGTAACAGCGTTCGTGCACCTTCAGCATTTAGTCATGCCAACCACAT